AAAAAACGGTGAAAGCTAACGTACGAAATCAGAGGGTAGCACACGATGCGATCGCGCGACCCTGCCCGTGAGCAATCTCCCAACTCATCTCTGTAAGCAATCTCTCAACTCATCTCTGGTATATACAACTAGTGCATTTACACTATCTACCCTATGCCGATTTTGTAACTCCCGATGTTAAATGTTAGGTTAAACGCCATTTTACTCCAGTTTTACTGATAACAACGGTGTAAAATAGCATTTACACGACATTTAGGCCCTGTTCTTCAACTCGAGATAACTGAAGTTTATCTGGTTACACCTGATTTAACTGCTGGAAACCAATTAACACTAGAACTACCAGCAGATTTCTTTGGCTGTGATGGGTCACTTAAAACCAGTCATTTTGACTGGACTTAGTAGTTGCTAAACTCAAGTTAACCGGAATTTCAATTATTTACATCAAGTTTAAATCAGATATAAACTAATTAATCGAGTTATGAAATCGAGCTTTGAAATGCATAAACGTCGTTTTACGCCTGTCTTATCAGTAAAACAGGAGTAAAACGGCGTTTATACAATGCTTAATACTAGTAGTAATAACCTTGATTGCTGTAAAACTGGTGTAAGGCAGAATGTGTAAATGTACTGCCTGGAAATCTAGTACCATTGCATTTTAGAACACGACTAATGATTACCAATCACGGTATTCTACAAAATCCACCAATCAGATTTACTATTGCATATTGAATTGCGTGTGCGGCTTGTATTTTTGAATTTACATTGAAAAGCAACCGTGAGCATCCGTTAAATGGCGTGAAGTTAGCCGTGCGTCGACCCTTGATCGTCCTCGATCGTGAATCGACTGATGTCGACTCGAGTCGACTCCGCGAGCCACTACTGTGGCATACGTCAAAGTTTAGCTCTCCGTCTTTCTGCTTTTGTGTAAAAAGTGACGTTTTTGGGCAGAACGCTGTTAACACAGTAAATTTCCCCTTCTATCTGTCCACCGTAGCGTTCATGATAATAACCTGTAATCGCTTAATGGGGGATCATATTCGCTACTTGGGTCGGCGTCATGGCTGGCCCCTTTCTCGCACAATGCATTATATTAGTTTTTTTCCAGTGAGCTTCCCATGCCAATGCCCTGATTATATCAGAGCCTAATTTCGATTTGTTGATCACGATCCAAGAGAGGGCCGCTGAGGAGTGGATGCGGTGAATTGAAGTAACGGCTCTATCATGTTCTGGACAAATAATTATGTATCGTCACCTCAGATCGAGGCTCTCCTTAATAAAAAGGTGAGATTTTCTGTCTTGCAATACCCCGAGTTTGAGTAACGATCTTGCGATTCCTCAAGTTCAGGCTGTAAGTTGCTCCGATCTATTGCAGCAATAGACGAGCATTAATATCATCCCGATCGACATAGTTTAAATTACTGTATAATTGGTAATACGTAAATTCTGTTGCAGTGCATAAGTATGTACTCCGTATCTTGATGAAGTATTACATAGAGAAATATATTTATTCTTACATCTGGCTTTAAATTTGTACCATTCCTTAAGTTTAATATCTATTCTTTGGTTATAATCGCGTCAAGGTAATGATCATGTTTTAAAACTTTACCTATACACATAAGAAATAAAGAAAAGTGATAATTAAAAATTAATTTTGTTGGGATATGATATAGATATATATTATGAATGAGGGTCAATTTCTTGTTGAAATTAAAGTATATTCTTACTTTTTAAGCCACTGTGATTTTATTCTCTGATTTATCTGACCTTCATGGTTATGGCATGATAAGAGAGATATGAAATAATCAAATCTCATTTTATGTTATGTCAAATAACTTCAAGTGATGTGAAATTTGGTTTCAATTGTCACGTTAGAAATGGAAATGAGATTGTTACATTTTATGAAGCCTTATATATTTTTTTGTTATAGGGTTTAATTAATTTTTTTTTAAGTATTATAAAATTAATCAATTTTGGGATAGGATGATAAATCTTTTTCGTCATTAATTACCACACTGTCTGCCACATTAAGTCCATTTGTTTGGTTCATAAGGTAATGCATTTCTAAGTAACATGGCAACTTTTTGTATTAACTTATAAAATTTAAATTTGATCTTATCCTTAATAATATGACAAGAAAACTATTGTTTTTTTTTATCTTTTTAGGATGTCACCTTGCAAGAACTAATGGATGAAGAAGACATTTTACAAGAATGTAAGAGTCAGAATAAAAAACTTGTGGAATAGTAAGTACATTTATTCAGTTAAGTTTTAATGCGTCTGCCATTTTATTTAATTATATTTAGTTGCTTAGTAAACATAGTAGTCAGTTTGAACTAATTAAATATATGCTATCCAGTTTACCGATGTTTTTAAGTTGACATGAAACTCTTACGCATTGGTACTGCAATACCAAACGTTTATGTGCTTACATTATATACTTTTTTGTCTTTACGATGCTTTTTTGTTTTACATAATTAGTTTAACAAGGCCAGATGTAATGGAGGAACTGGTGATGTTGACGTTGAAAGAGCCTCCAAATGATGTTAACGAACGTTTGCGATATAAGTATCCAAATGTTGCGTGTGAACTTCTTACATGTGATGTACCAACCCTCAACGAAAAATTAGCAGGTACGATTAAGCTTAAGTAACATTAGAATTCTTAAATTGAAAGTCATGTTTAAATAAATATAGGTATTGATACCAAGCCAAAATTTTAATTTCAGGTGATGAGTATCTATTATCAAAACTGTATTCTTTCATCGATACGGACCAACCTCTGAACCCCTTGCTTGCGTCATTTTTTAGCAAAATAATGGGTTTGCTCATAGCACGAAAAAGTGATCAGGTGAATATGTTGCTAACATATTAGGAATTCTACTTATAAGAAACAAAGCCTTCTGATGGCAATTACTACCTTAACACAATTGTTACTAAACTTGCAGCTAACAACGCGTATTAAAATCTTTTATAACCTTTTTAACAAGCCACCGTAGAATAAGCATTTACAAAGTCAGTTTTGAACTCTAATTTTCATATTATAAAAATACCTGAAATGCATATTTAAGGTTCTACTCAAGTTTTTCATGCTTGAATATTCCATATTGATTTATATTGCTAATATGAGTACAGTTTATTAATCATATTTTGTTCCGCTTTCCCTCCTTCCAATCCAATGTACCAATCTGGTTTTTTTCAACCAGAACTGGTACTCCTATCAGTTCACTTGTCTACAGGTATTAGAGTTTCTGAAAAGCAGGCAAAGATGCGTCGATCGACTTCTACAGCATCTGGAAACCTTGGCGATAATGGATTTGATCTTAAAATTAGTTACGCAAGTTGAAGGCAGTGAAATGCGACAAAATACTCTAAACGTAAGACATCAACTCTGTAACGCAGTGTGTACATTTTGTTCCTTCTGACATTGATATTTCATTCTTTCCACCTCAATCAGTGGTTAAATAGCCAGGAATTAGTACAACGATTGGTGAAACTATTGTCACCCTCTTCTGACTCTGCAAAACATACCAACGCAGCACAGCTACTTTGCGACATGATCAAAGCAACGAGAGAACATCGCCTATCGATCGAACGAACTGGTCCCGACCCTATTCTTACCACTTTGGAGTCGTAAGCATTTACCAAAAATATTTCCTTCTACCAAAGTTAAATTATTAGTAGGGCTGTAACGAAAGTCCTTATATTGAAAGCAAAAGCGAAAGAAGACAAATCGCATACAACAAAAACAAAACCGAATGTTCGTTACAACCCTAATTATTAGATGTGTTCTAATCATTACATTTTTTTATAATTTATTAAAACCAATAATTTGATGTAATTTTGGTGAGTTGATCATTTAAATTGTTTATTCAGTGCCTAGTGCTTGTTTTTTTTTTTTTTTCTTTTAATAGAATTATTTTCAAGACTATGTTTCCAAGTCACACGATTCAGTTTGAATATTCTTTATTCAGAGGAGAGACGGTGGCCCTTGTGTTGGAGACAATCTTAACGGGAGACAAGCTAGAAAGTAGCATCATCGGTGGGATCCAGTTGCTTCTCGCCTTGTTGGGCCAAAAGGCAAACAAGTACGATTCGCTTAATTTTCAATGTGTATTATTACTCGTCAATGATTTCTGATTGAAACTTGACCTCCACTGATACTTCCAGTACTTTGAATGAGGGCGAGATGTACGGAAATGGTGCTGGCGAAGACGTGATCGATAACGAGCAACGGATTAAAATTTCAATTGCAACGATACCTTATCTGGAACGTCTCCATCAACTCCTTCTGGACCCACCACATGTAAGTTGGTCTGTCAGTAAGTTGCGTGCAGTAATTATCGGAGATCGTAAGTTATTGCAATTAATCCACATCAGTCGGTAATGCTTAGAAGTCACATTTAAAGTGATTATGAAAGTGATATTGGATAAGGAGAATTATTCGTTATTTGTAGAAACCGCCGGTTAAAACAACGGCTGGGCTTCTGCAGTGTCCTTTTGGTAATACTCGTTTACACGTAGCAAAATTACTGGTAGCACTTTTATCTACGGAAAATACAACAATACGAGAGAATCTGGCTGATTTAAGCACGTACCAAACATTGTTGGTAAGCGTTTTGATATACTTACAATGTCGTTACGCTTGAGTTTTTTTTTTCTTCTGTTAATATTTTTGTACAATGATTTTTCATTTCACGATGTGTTTATGAAACACTGTTTTTCTTTTCAGGACCTATTCTTCAAGTATTCATGGAACAATTTCTTGCACACGCAAGTAGAACAGTGTTTAGCCTTAGCTATTAAATGTGATCGTGAAGATACTAATGATATTATTTATGCTCACGTGAGTACTCGACATTTGTTTTATCCAATATCTCTGTACAACGAAAAAAATAATGTATATATATTTAAAATTGACGTCTTCTATTTTAGATATTTATAAAATGTAGGCTGATTGATCAGATTTTGGATGCATGGGATAGAAATGAAGATAAGCAGTAAGTTCACCCTATGAACAAATGTAAAAATGATGATTTGAATTTATGCGTAACTTGCATGTTTTTATTTTTTTACATATATTTTTAATGAAGTTAACGATCCATCAAATTGGAAAACAGCAGTGCCACTCAAGGGTTTAGATAATTTCTACACACTTTTGGAAGTTTCTTGTCAACTAAGTAATTTTTATTTCTAAATACAAAGGGTTACCTTAAATTTTTAGAGAGCATAACATGTATATGGATAAAGAATGTAGACTTTTGTGACAAGTTAATCTGTATATAATGTATAACACGTGTGATTTAATTATATCTTGTTTACCGTTTATTTATAGAATTAAAGGGAAGAGCATAAGGCAAGGATACATGGGCCACATAATCAATATAGCTAATAACATTGTATCTCAATGTGAGAAGAACAACGTCCTCGACACTTTCTTGAAAGTAAATCTGCCTACAGAGAGTCGCAATAAGTGGGAGACACTTGTGACTACACAATTAGTAGAAGTAAACAAAGCGCAAAATGCACCTTTGGTAAGATGATTTTCATTATCGTGGAGTTAATAATTATACGAAAGTCTGCGAATAGCAAGAGACTGCAATCGATAATTACTTAAAAACACGCCATCAAATGATATTTCATGGAGACAGATTTCTTTAAAAGACGTGTATTATATTAAAAACCTTCATCTGGAAATTTCACTCTGAAATCATCCGATTTAGAATTTTAGCTACAATTAAGAATTATACAAATCTTTCCGCCCGTTTATAGAAATAGCAGGATGAGTTTTTAAATATTTGCTTCTGAATTACAGGGCTCACAGACTCAAGCTTATATAACGAACTCAGAAGAAAATCCTGACGAGTACAATTCATTTTCCCATGACGCTTACATACAACAGGTAAATTATAAACTTACACCGAGTAGTAATTAAAATACTTTTTTAAGTGGAGATGCTTATGAGAGATTTAAAGTGCATGGCAAGGGAATAGACAAGTAGATTTCTACGCTGAGAGTGTTTCAAAGATCTTAACGCGATTACTGTGGCTTTTTGACTCTATCTCTTGGAAGTCAAATAGGACATTCAGAGGTGCGACACGAATGAAATTTCCTTTTTACTTTTGACCTATACTATTGTACTTCAGATGTACTCTCACTATCAGGGCCAACAAATGACTCCTCAGTATCTAAAGAACTATGGGTACCGTGACGACGAGTTTAACGACAGTAACGATACGTTCCCGTATGTATATAATTTCAGTAAATTTACAACCATTACGTATTGTAAAATCCCGTGGATTTGTTACTTAGTCTACGGCTATAGGGTTTCTAATTGATCACATATTGCAGTACTCCAGATGGTCAGATAACCAATGTAAATTTCACCCTGAACGAGGAAGATCTCGATGAAAATGAGGATGAGTTTAACAAGGTATGTACTTCGTTGACGATAAACAGAATTTACATTATAGAAAGAGAAAGAGAGAGAGATTTTGTGATTGTATGTAAAGGTTTGCCAGCAAAAGCAAAAGGCTGATCTGGAAGAAGGTGGGGGAGGGCTCGAGTGGGGAGACGACGTCACTTTCCAAACTGTGATAGACAAATGGCCTTCAAAACGGGTACCCTATGAATCCAGTTCCTCCGAAGATGAAGATGATCCCCACGACGTACACATGGAGTTCGATTCCACTGACCGTAAGTGGTTTTATATTTTTTATTTTTTTTTTATATTTTACTTTTCTTCTTTGCTGCTGACTGTAGAAGGTTCATGCTGCTTTTTCAACTATAAAGATACGAATAAGTAAAAATTAGTCGAATTAGCATGTGAAAACTACGTCGTATTTCAAGGACGCCAGGTTGAAATAAGCATCTACCTATCTAACGATCTATCTACAAAGATACAGAATATTGACAAAAACAGTCTTACTGTCATCCTGCACATCTATATACGTAGAACTACATTTGGGTGATACGAAATGGGAAATATAATTATATATGCTATCATTTATCAGGTGACAATTCATGACACTGTAGGTTCAATGGCCATTCATGTTGTAACCATCAGTCGGCACCAGGAGGTTACTCGCGAAATCTAAAATTCGATTGGGATGGAAAAATGATTGACTGAAAACAGTGGGGAGTTTACGGGTTTATTTCTTGATGTTCAAGAAAGCTCTGTCCTGATACACAAATTTAGGTAACACGAAGCCTCGCAAATATACCGGAGAGTAGGCGAAGGTTACAGGCTATTGGTTCCCTCAGTGTGACGTATTAAAGTTTTCCAAAAGCGACGCGTAGCGGGAAAGGACGAAACTTAAGGGGGTGTAATATTTGTGATATTCGGAAGATCCTTGGAATACAAATACAATTGCGCGTTTGATTCTGATATATGCCCTTTTCCGTGACATTCGCATATCTTTGGGAGATTCGTATAATTTCGTGACATTTGCACTTTTTTGCGATGTTCAGTTCCTCAATGTACTTCCCATACCTATAAACGAACGGGAAAGGCGTAGTTCTACGTTTTAATGATTCCAGGGAGTCAAAACGACCAGAAGCGTATCATCACATCAAGTGCGACGCTCATTCATTCATTTTAATGTGTTTAATTCTTTTCCTCTTGAATAATTTCAGCCTGGGATTCTACCGAGCCGGTAACTAACAATGCTATATTACCAGAAGTGAACCCTTGGGACGTGGTTTCCTCGCAATCGGTAGAGCCTACTGGATGGGCAAATTTCGACGGTTTCGAAAATTCATCAGGCCCACCTAAACCCGAGAACGAGTCTTGCAAAGAAACCAAACAGGAGGCGCCAGTTGCTTCCTCGTCGATAGTTGAAAACGTTAAGCCGAGCAGTGAAAAGGAAAAAGAGGCCGAGGATGAAGTAAAGGTGCCAGAAGTTAAGGAGTCATTGCCACAGTCTTCCTTGACGAATCTCAATAGTGAAAGAAATGTTACTGTTGATTCTGTAAATACTTCCGACAGTAACGCCAATCCTAGTGACGTAGAGGATAATAGGTACGGAATTCACAATTAGTAAATTATTAATTTAGCTCGTATCTTAAATCGTAATTGGCAGAAAACTCAACCCTGTTTCTTGATCGAGTCATTACCCAGATAACACTATTGTACCTAAGAATATTCTTTAAATCTTTTAATATACTCCGGATATTTGGAATATTTAGTGAATATGCTGTATATACATTCATAAGCCAGAATATGCTTTGAATATTCTTAAAAATTCCACGTTCCATGAATATCCACTGTACATCTGAAGATGATATGAAAGGCGCTGAGAAATTTATTCGACGTCGATAAATTAAAATTCATCTATACCCTTTTTGGTGGTAACGCCATTTTGAATACCCAAGTGGTAACAAGTTGGCGCGTCGCGTTACCGACATTTATATTTATGTTGGTCTTTTAGATCGACGTAAAACTGTTGAAATTTTTTGTTCTAAAGACGCGTTAGCCATGAGACAAGTCAGCATTCTCTTGCAATCATTGGTGAAAGTATTTTCCATATTTTCCCATCAGATTCTGTAATATTTCATTTCTACGGTATTCTAAATTGTTCGAGATAGGTCCTGAAAGAATTCTAAGCTTCCAAGAAGCATAAAACAGCGAAAACGTGCACGGACCACGCCATGCTGGTTCTAGTATCCGCGTTTCTAATACATAATGCGTAAATTATGCTTAATGGATAATTGTTAAAAATGGTTCGCTTAATTTCGCAGGTCTGGCACGAAGGAGGGCAACGAAAGGTGCTCGCAGGATTTAGCAAATGTTCCAACAAAGTCTGAAAACCCATCCGACATTGCAAAAGAAGGTTCGGAGAACCCTTCGACCGCGGAACCCGTAGTCGCGTCCAAGGCATCCGACTAAAACTCTTCCCGGAGGTCCGAACCAGCAATAGTGATAAACCATATCAGATCGACCTTACACCATACCTGAGAGGATACCTTTATATTTCTATTTCTCCTTAGAATTGGGTTTATGCTTTCAACGACGCCGCACCCGGGGCACTACGATCAATATGGCAGGGTATCGTTAACTTACGGTACATGACCGAGAGGACTATTCACAATGCTCAATTATAGTTAGCGAATTGTGTTTTAAGGAGTCTATTTAAGTGCGCTCGCCTGTTGTTAGCGGTCCAATTACGATTCGGTCTTCGCTATTTGTACATACAACGCACGGAGCTGGAAGCTTTGTAATTAAAGTCCAAAGGACTGTCACTGTCTGGTATTCGATTGGTCGATAATATCTGGATATACGGCGCGATTAGTGCCATTTTTATCCGTTACTATCGTACGGAAAGTGTGTGGAATGATATTGGGCAGTATAAGACGCTTATTATATTGGAAAAAGAAAATAAGAAATTTATCTATTCATTTCGCATTATCAGCTGTTAATAAAACTGTAGTTTATCCTGGAGAGGAATACTGGCGAAGTCCAAAGTGGAGTGTAAGCTTCGTTGTGTTTGATGTTCCGTTTATTTTTCTTATCGTTACGGGCGGTTTGCTTTTAGAGAAGAGTTTACCTACGAATGTAAAAAGTGACTCACGCCGATTAAGGGTGACAGAAGAAAGCATTTTCTAGTTCATTTTCCTTTTTGCTCATTTAATAACTCGGTCGAACTCTTACAACGTTGTGATATATTTCGAGTGGAAGCACTGTACCGAATACTAGAGAGTGCAGGATTTTCATTGAAATGTTACAGTTATATTCCAATTAGGACTTGAAAGAGAAGATTCAATTGAAACATTACATTTCCGAGAAATGCCACTTTATTTTAACTCGATAAATGGTTTAGCTTGCAGGTCGGTTATTTTGTAAATATTTGAAGACTAAGTCGCGAGGGTGTTTAAAATGATATAGGATGTCTCTTGGAAGGAGACTTTCGAAAGACACTCCGACAAAGGAGGTAACTTCAAATTATTTTCTAATAGTATTTTTTACACATCTACTGCAGATTTCGTAAATTTGCAACTCCTTCACTCCGTGCGTTAGACACTGGAAACTGAGTATAATATAATTTAACTGCAATTGTAACTGAGTAATTAAGAATTGTTGATATCAGGGGTGGATACATCCCCGTGCACTATGCTCGACATCTTCCATGATTAGATTACCAATAATTTTGAAAGTCAAATATTCCATTGCAAGGACACGCAATTAAAGGAGAAGCGCATTTTTCTAATAAACCAAAAACAATGGTGCTGTTGCAGTTTAATTACTCAATTACAATTCTACCTTCCCCTGAAGGCTGGAAGGACCAATATTCTCCTGTATACAGTGAAAGATGTAATCGTTTTAGACATTGAAAGAATACCTCGCTCTTCCGGAAGTCGAATTCACTCGGAAACACACTTATCCTGAAGAGTAACCGTTTGAGGAAATTAAGAAGAAAAAACAAAAAGAAAGAAGAAAAGAATGACGTCGATGAAATTGTATTGATTTAAAAAACACGTAAACTCTAAAGTTCCCTGGTGAAAAGAAGTGATAAAAAAAAGAAAAACTTCCATTAAAAGGAATGCATTTCTCCTAGTGCCGTTGATGCATTGTTAGCGACGTCTTTCTCTTTTTTTCTTTCTTTCTTTCTTTCTTTTCCTTCAATCGGCGCAAATTTTGCGAATATCTCCCCAACGCCATCTGGTGTATCCGCCGTGGAAGTTGGTGGTCACTCCCAGTTGCAATTTCCAATATTTTCCGAAAAACTCTGGAGCGTTCTCGCTAATGTTAATTCACATTTAGGCATTTATATAAAGAAATGCGAGGCTTTGTCCTCGGCACGAAAAAAAAAAGAAGAAAAGAAAAGAAACGCCCCTCGTTGCCTGGCGCTAAATCCGCGCCAAACAAGTTAGAGTACAATAAGATATATTCGTGCCGCGATTATACGAATGCTAATGTCTCTCGATATCGCAAGTTAGACTGCACTGTAATTAAATATCATGTAAAGTTACACAACTAATCATTGTATAAAAGGATCATATTGAAAGTATCGATTACTTTTAAGTAAAGGGAATGATAACTACAATTATAGTAATACTAAATAATACCACGCACGATAAAAATTACACCGGGTACACTTGTAGGTAGGTGTAGTGCTGTTTTAAGTGGCTTCTCCTTTACTTCGAATTATATATATATATATATTTTTTTTTAATTGAAAAGTTTCTACGCCTTGGAACGGGTCGTTGTACCGCCCAATTTGTTGCAGTATAAATGCGTCGTACAATTCGTTTACTTGAATCGTACCGAGAGTTTACCCTGAACCTATGACAGAATGTTATTAAATTATATATCCATATGATAATATATACACGGGCAGGTTGATTTTCCGTATTTTTTGTTTCTTTTTTGTTTTCTTTCTTTGTTTTCCCCCGATCGTTCCCACCGACTAACCGATTAGCCGGCATTGCATGTACAATATTCTGTACTTAAAATTCGTTGCATTTAACCGCATTGTATTAGTCTTCGCCGTAAACAGAGTTGTGTAATTTTACGTGAGATTTTTTTTCATACAGTGTGCTTGGATTGTTTAAATCCCTCGGGCTGTGCCTCGAGGAATGCGCGGAACAAGTATTACGCAGCATTGTATACCATAATGTTTTTGTAGGTACCATGGATGTGAGGCTATTTAGAGAAATCTAAGGAAAGACGCGAAACAGATAAACAGAAAGAAAAAAAACATCACCATAGTCCGATATATATATATGTATATTAATTCACGACGAACTACAGTGCTTTTTGATACATCGTAAGCGAGCGGCGAGGAGAAATTGGGTGCAGTGCCTAAAGCGACTCGGATCGAGTGGGAGAGAGTTAGAGAAATTGCGGGAGATAAGAGAGGAAGAGAAACAAACAAGAAAACGAAAAAAATAGAAAAAAAAAGAAAGATAGAAAGAAACAGAAATATGTATTCCTACGCGCCACGTGATGTAACGCGAGATGATATAATTATATTTTTATTATGTTCAGACACTCGGCGGGTTCTTTCGCGGACCGTGGTAGGAAACGTCACCGAAACTGACAGTTCTTGACCACGTGGTCGACGCCCACGTGGGTTTGACAGCTGTCGCGTGGACGAAAAGTGGACGATTGTCGGTCGACGAACTTCTACCTCGACATTTAATCGAGTGCGAATCCATTCTATCTAAACTTTTCTATCCTATTTCGGGTCTAGCTTCGATTTCTTTCACTTTTCGCTCCCGATGATCGACCACGTGGCGTGCCATGCGAATCAATTCAGTTTCCCACCGTAACGCAAAAGTATTTCGTATATACATTTCAGACGTGTCTATGCCGAAGGTCTGTACACACGATGAGTCCGTTGCCTTTCTGGGATGTTACAAGAGCATACCGATTAAAATTGTATCGAGATATCGTCGGGATTTTAGCTATCGTGACGAGTGTCGGGAAGGAAGGAAAAGCGAAGAAAAGAAATATGTATGGGAAATTATTACCGATTTGGGAGAAGCGATGTTTGATATTCCGTGCGCGTCGTCCCTAGGGTCCGAGTATGTGCGTTTTATCGAGCCTCGATTGGGCATTTTGTTAACTGCGGAGGAGTTATTAATCGAGGGCCGATTAATTGATAGCCGAACTTCGGTCCTTCGGGACTTCCTCTCGGCGGGGGATGTGCACTTTGTTAATTACGGAAACGCGAGGAGGAAGAGGGGAAAAAAAAAGACATAATCAAGATTGTTCAGAGTTTCTTTCCCACGCAGACATTTTATCAGGGTGAAAGGTGCACTTCGTTAATTGTATAACAAATAGAGAGAGAGAGAGAGAGAGCCGCGTGCCGCTCCGCAATTCATTTCCGCGTAGATATTTTACCAATGTGAGATGTGCGCTTCGCCAGTTGTACAAAAAGGAAAGAAAAGAGAAAAAGGGTGAAAGGATTGATCGACCATAATGAATTCCTTGGTGCACGTCTCTGCCAGCCTCTGCTCCCCTCTATGGTTTATTGATAAGGCGAGGCGTGCACCTCGTTAATTGTACAAAATGCGGGAAAGCCATAATTGATATACTTGGTGCACATCTCGAAAAGTTCTTTCCTCCCCCCCCCCCCCTTCTAGATTTTATCCGAAAGTTAGGTAATACACGCACTTCGGTAGTTGTTAATGGATTGATAACGGCAGGGAAATGTCGAGGATGAGGTATTTGTATATGTATACACGGGGTGAACGGACAAAATGAGCGGAGAGCTGACAAGAGCTCCGAGGACCCTCCAACGAACCGAAGAATGAATTTCATTTCGAGACGGTGCAAGTGCCAAGTAACTTAATGGTTAAGGCTTTTCTAAATGCGATTATGTAAATTGCGTTCGGCGTTTTAACGGTGATTTTCTTCTGCCTTAATAGAGACGTGCACGAGCGACATTGTGTTCACGGAGTTGTGCGCGACAGCGTTGTACATAATTCGTAAATAAATAGAAAGTACTGTCTTAGCCCCTCGTTGTGTCCCGATCTTTCTGACTGTTAAATTGTAACAAGGAAGAGACAGACATGGAAGGTATTATAAAAGAGCGAGATAGTACTGCAGAGGGAGGTCGACTACGTTGGACCCGTGTTAAAGATATCTTCGTAAACCTACTCGAAATCGAAACTTATTTTCTGTACATGTTCATAACTTAAGATGATATGAAAGGCGCTGAGAAATTTAATCAAAGTCGATAAATTAAAATTCATCTGTACACTTTTTGATAGTAACGTCATTTTGAATACTCAAGTCAAGTAACATAAGCTGGCGCATTCCGCTATCGAGATTTATGTTTACGTTCGAGTCTTTTACAGTCTACGTTGATAATTATACGAACTGAAGCGTTCCATATGTCATTTCAGTAAAGTAATGATAAAGAGATCGATGTACAACTGTCGAAATCCCGTAAATTCATTATTCTAGCGACTGTTTAGGACCACCGTCGCCATCTGTGACGATTAGCTGCAACTAAATTTTTGCTCTAAAGACACGCGTTAGCCATGAGACAAGTCAGCATTCCCTTGCAATCTTTGGTGAAAGTATTTTCCATATTAACTGGAAACAAGTTGGAATGAGATACCAATATTAATGAGCAACGATTTTAATGTCAATTCCGCCATGCATGAACACAGTCGCTGATTTACTTCTTAGACAATAAATTGAAATTAAATAACCCTAACGAAAACGTTTGCGCAGATTGTGCTAATATTAAAAGACAAAGATTAATATAAATAGTAATTAACTAAAAACAAAAAGCGTTTCACATTCCGATCACTAACGTGCCTTGGGAAGTTTAGCTTAAAAAAATATAAATATACAGATATGTGTCATTGAAGTCACATAACGTATTAGAGAGTTCATAGAAATCCATAAAAATTATTTAATTCACGCCAAGTGTCCTTGTTAGCCGAATTTAATCAATTTCTGTAACGGACGTTTGCTGTAGACTGAAAAATATCAAACGGTTTTATTTAACGTTATTATGGATTATCCTTATATTAATCGTTATAATTGGTCTCGCAATGTTGTAATTAACGAGAGGTTGGCTGCTGCGTGTCTTTTTCCTCGAACGATGTGTTTCTTGGAAGGCGGTGAGCGAAATCGAAGGTGCATTAGGTACACTGGGAGACATCAATGCCCTCTCATCCTGCACAGGCGATGCCGCGTCTGCAGGGGAGGCATTCATGTCCGCCATTGTACATTTAAAGTGCACGCGCCGCCGATTTACAAAATCTTCCACGGGAGGAAAGATTCCTATTCACATATGTTTGACGAATTATCGCCTTAGGAAAATTCCCCATGACGTATCGAAATTTACGCGCCGCTGCTAATTTAATAAGCAAAAGATTCGAAGCGGGCTGGCATTACGAGTTAGCACCAATTATTTCCTTCAAATTTACCACCACTTTGTCATACGTCGGCACAAGCATTTCTTACACAAAAGCCGCTTTATATTGGAGTCTAAAAGAGATCGAGGTCTCCGTAAAACTGTTTAGAAAAGTACAATTTTAACCTTCTGTAAATAGCCTATGTAATGGGCTCGGCCTGCTGTTTAGAATCATTTTACGGTAGACTCTCGTATAACGCGACTAATATGTTACGCCCTATATGAATTCGCATTGTAGGAAATCGTGCTGTATGGGAATTATTCTCGTGTAACGCGCATAATGTGTTTTGTTATTTCACACGTTATACGAAGAAACGTGTTATATGGAAACACTAGTTTCCCGTATAACGCGTCTATGTTACGCGTATTGTACTGGCATTTTTCTCGTATAACACGCATAATGTGTTTTGTTATTTCACGCGTTATACGAAAAAACGTGTTATATGGAAACACTAGTTTCCCGTATAACGCGACTAATATTTTACGCCCTATATGAATTCGCGTTGTAGGAAATCATGCTGTATGTGAATTATTCTCGTATAACGCGCATAATGTGTTTTGTTATTTCACACGTTATACGAAGAAACGTGTTATATGGAAACACTAGTTTCCCGTATAACGCGTCTATGTTACGCGTTATAGGAAATCGCGTTGTAGGAAATCGCGTTGTATGGGAATTATTCTCGTATAACGCGCATATTGTGTTTTGTTATTTTACGCGTTATACGACGAATCGCGTTGTATGAAAACAGTACTCTCCCGTATAACACGGTTAATACATTACGTGCTGTATGAATTCGCGTTATAGAAGATCGAAGAAAAGTGGCATAAAAGTTAACCAATGATCTAGTATATAAATTAAAATGGGAATTTTTTTCAGTGTACATCGCATCATAAGATGTCGTGCCATACGGGAATTTTTCTCGTACAACCCGCGTAATGTTTTTTATTTGCAGCGTTGTAAGAAAAATCGTGTTATATGAAAACAGTAGTCGCGATATCTTTGACGCGTTATAAGAATTATCTCGTATAATTGAACTAAAAAAAGTTTCCCATCCATTCTTACTTTCATTTCTACCCAGCAGGATAATTGCACAAATCGGCGCAATATTAAAACAAGATATTAATCTGTGTATGTATTTCTTCGTATTAACTTTAATAGGCCGCTTACAACTTTGAAATACCCATTGTAGTTGAAAAACATGTTTCAGAGCTTTACATCACGAGTCAATGAAAGTAACGCAAGAATTGGCTATATTCGGTACAGAAAATGTTATGGTGGGAGAGAAGCGTTAACCAGATTAGTTTGCAAGTATAAAAGAGGATGGCACATTCCTTGAGGACAGTCGTAAGTTTTCTTCGGGTCTCGTCAACAGTTATCGGAGTTCGAGTGGATCGGTTCAGGCTCTCCGATATGATGCTGCTACTTTTGTATATCTTCCAACTCTCTCTAGCAATACCTCTGCCTGATTCCCAGGACTCTACATCGGTCCTACCAAAAGATCTCAACTCTACGTCACTCTTCGATCCTTTTGAAATTACTCCGAATGGGTCCACCGATGTTGATGTTAACCCCTCGAGTCCAGCAACTGGCGACTTGTAAGAGATCTAAAAGCATAGTTTTAATGACAAGGAATATTTCAATTACGTTTTTACGATCATCTTACGTGAATATTTTTGTCCACATTATTTGTAAAGTTAAGGTGACATGAAAGGGTCATACTGCGCACGTGCATATATATACATTTTAAAACTTCAGCGCGTGATTATGGAGGTCCTAAGGAAGAACGTGGTGTTCATGAAATTTCATTCAAAAGAAAATGTATTCTTGGTTCTAGTCTGACATAAAGACAATTTTTTATTAAAAATGAAATTTCACGAGCACCATGTGCTTCCTTAAGGCCTTCATAATCACGTGGTGAAGTTTCAAATGATTCGGTGAACCCAATTTGTAGAAAAGTCTTATAAATATTTTGACGTTTTATGTATATAGACCGACCCTTTCATATCACCTTAATTTAATAAACGATAATTAATTCACTATTTGAATTTCAGATATGTAATAAGAGCTGTTGTCTATGAAGTTGGAATTCTTACAAGCCCTGATAATACTACCGATGAATCTACAGAAAAGTATGATTTCTTTTATTGACTTTTAATAACGTTTCTATATGTAATACTTTAAAGTCTTTACGTATATATATATATGCACTTTTATAATACTGAAAATAGTCAAATTTTCTTAATAATTGTGGAACCAAAATGGTTTTTAGGCACGAAGAACTCAATATTTCCCTGTTTGATCCACCACGCAAGGAGGATGGGGTTCTAGATCTTAGCAAACTCTTTTTACCACAACTTGATGCAAACAATCAAACCGATTCAATACATTCACTGCGAAAGAAACGTTCTGATGATTCCAGCGAAGAGTCTCACGAAGAATCATCTGAAAGCAGTACGGAGCAAGCATTAACGACTTCACAGTCTTCGTCAACTGTTCGATCTTCTTCGACTCCACAACATCCAGCGATAGAAGACACAGCAGCTTTTCTTTTTTATTAACATCTATGTCCTCTCCATGAATCTTGTAAATACTTGTACAGAAACAAATCGTATTTGTATCGCCATTTGGAATTTAAGTATTCATTATATTAGGAATAAGGCTGCTTGATACCATTACCGGTCTCTCCACATTTTATTTCTTGTATTTATTATCCCTAAATTATATCGCAAGATATTTTTAAGTTCCATTTATATTTCACTTTTGGCTCATCCCATGTCGTAATTTATAGGTGTTTCTTAACTAGTTCAGGATTGTTTCGCAATTGCAACATAGTTACCACATAACTTTGCGAGTAAAAGAGTATTTACCAAAGTTGCATGAATTGAATTTCAATGTTTCATACATTCAATGTACAACCAAGTCCCTTTTGTGTGGAGGAAGGTTAATAGAAATACCAAGTCTTCGTAGTTGCTTGACATTTCCATATAATTTTTCGTAGTAAATATATCAAAGTATAATAAACTTTGCACGCAAAGCCGATGCTTTCAACACTAATCATCACAGAATTCAGGAAACGGTAATTTCACTTCATTTTGAAGAAGAAAAAAAAAAGAAAACACCAGTGGTGACTTAGAAAAATAGATTAACACGACCTACGTTGTGTCGCTTCTACGTACTAAAGTATATGAAAAAATATCGGAAATATTCGACCGACTGAAGCTTAACATTAAACAAGTACGATTTTGTTCCGATTTGGAAATAATACATTGATATGGCGTGAAGTAGGAGAAAACACCAACATTGTAGGTAACACATCCTGAAAAACTAGACTCACTTACGATTAGAGATAAACATGAAAACGTCTTTGCTTAAAGATTATAATCAGTTATCTCTTAGAAATAGACGCATATCAAAGCAGTATCGCTAGCGTTCACATTTTTCGTTTTACCTTCAGTTCAATTTTCACAAGGACATTGATTACCCTTAAACTGTTCACAAATGCTTATATGTACCACTTTCAGTGGCAGCTAAAGTATTAAAGTATAAACGTTGCTTGCAAAGCAAACACTTTCAAGACTAATCATCACAGAATTGAAGCGAAAGTAGAAGAGAGAAGTACATAATAATTGATATTTGCTCCAGACATTGTTATTAGCCAAAAGTCTGTGCCGTACCAGTGGTAAAATGAAGATTTTTCTTATTCAGTTGGTACAAGAGCAACCATAGTGAAGCGCATCTCCTCCGGATCTCGAGTCATGTATTCTTGGCAGACGCTAGTAGCATCTTCCAAGAATTTCTCTGGAGAAGTTGGACCATAATTGATGGGAAAAGGCTTTCGACCATCTAAAAAATGTAAAGTAACAGAACGATTCAATTAAACGTGGTTAGTATGGGAACATTAACTAATGAAAGAAGTATAGTAATGACTAAACAAAAAGTTGGACTTCAAAATTGCAGGAATGCTCACCCAACTCGTACAATGAACCATCTTTGTGAATGAAAGCAACAAAGTGGTAAATTACTGGAGCATCTTCCCGTGGAGCCTTAAAATATAAAAAAATTATAATAAATTATTATATATTTCATATACCTAAATATCCTATTTGTACATAAAATTTTGATTTCATTTAAGATAACGACTATTTGTTGTAATTCAATGGTCCTTTCTTAAAGCCTTCGAGCATATAATTTAACATGGTCTCTTATTAACTACTTCCATCAAACAATATTCTTATTATTTCTTTGGTTTAATTAAAAAATACAAAACTTTTATTTGCAACAATACCTCTGTTTGACCTTCTTGGGCTTGTAATTTATGAGCATCGATGATTCCTTGAGCTTTCATTAATTGCTCACCCCTTTCAGTGGGTGACATATCCTTTGTTTCATCCAAGAAGGTCTTAAGGACCCCATCTTCAAGTTTTATTCTAAAACAATAAGTTTTATTTCTCATACAAGAAATCTTGAATCAGAACTCCATTCCGTGTTTTATCAATAATATTGCTTATAAAAGATAATCTAATAGAAATTATATANATGTTATATACCGGTAGACACAAATGCTTTTCTTATGAGCATTGTGCTACCAATGTATAATGGAAAGGTATTCACGTTGGTCTGTGTAGATTACAAAAAGACAAAATCTATTTGAATATAACAAACATTGTAAATTGATTTTAACAATCGAAGAATTTAGCAACGATTGGTCCCTGATACTTTTCATAGTCCATATAAAAGAGATTATTAAAACGATAGTGATTTTCTTTACATAATAGTTTTACAAAAATCATAACCTTATACCGATAACTTTTTAAAATTTCAAATCTACACAGTTCTATCCACAGAATGTTGAAAATAAAATATTGCACCCTTGATAAAAGCTTGAACTTTAAAGGTGCTTGCATTATTAATAACACAAACTTGATACTACAGTTAAAGTTACCACCAAATAAATACATATTTAACCAAAACAATACAAAGAATATTTGAGATACAATTGACGTCGGTTTCTATTTATGTGAATGTACTGACATAATGTATAAATTGAAATGAAGTATAATGACTTTTCAAATGGTTGCTGTGTCTTATTCAGGGTGTGCTCACCTGGGACATAACCTGAAAAGAAAAAGGGAACAATGAATTAACGAAGCAATAATAAATCATTAATTCGATAATTGCAAGCCATTAACATACCTCGGGATTACATTCTAATGGGACTAAAGCCATTTTGCACAATATGAGTGTAATCAGCTACGGTTAGGAGACCGATACTTCTTACGAAAAGGGGAAGTAATGCAGCGTCAGACCGATTTTTCATTAGTGCTACAGCGACCACTGACGGAGCGACGAAGAACGAATAAGATGTTCTGATTGGCTGCCGAAAATGTATGGCGGAAGTTTCCACATTCCGCTGTTTCTCTGCATTCAATCAGAATCTCTTATTACTAATGGAATATCGGCTTAAAGCGTAGCGAGCTTAGATCATGGTTGGGTAAGTATAATACATGAAGTAATATCGTGGTTTTCTACATGTATATTACAACGTATAATACGTCCCTAGTATTCTACGCAGGCACGAAGTATTATATTACCCCAAACTAAGTGTGCAAAGCGCATGCGCAATATCGTCAATAGCCAATGAGAGTCCACCTATTTACCTCTAAGAGAGATTCTCATTGGCTATTAAGGGGATTGCGCTTTACGCATCCACAAATCTGCGCACATTCGAAATCAGCCTTGGAAATTTCAAATGTATGTATATATGTGCATTTAACGTTTGTTTATAACGGCTGATAACGGCTATTTGAAGTCGTCAGATTCGTAACCAATATTTGTATCAAAATGTATAATGGTGGAAGACCAAAAAATAAATTATGGGATGAAACAAATGGACAAGATGGATGTTTATAACCTAGCGGATACCGCATGCTCTACGCTGTCTTGTCCGCCATATTTGATACGTTCTCTTGGTTTTCTACGTTTCTACGGTAAACTGATCTACGTAACTTGATTTACTTAACTACTGAACTACGAACTTGATTACGTAATATACGACGGCTTTTCTACAGATAACCTGACATATATTATGTAAATCAAGTAGTTTACCGGAGAAAACGTAGAAAACCAGGAAAAACGTATCCAATATGGCGGACAAGCAGCGTAGAGCATGCGGTATCCGCTAGGTTATAAACATTCATCTTGTCCATTTGTTTCATCCCATAATTTATTTTTTGGTCTTCCACCATTATACATTTTGATACAAATATTGGTTACGAATCTGACGACTTCAAATAGCCGTTATCAGCCGTTATAAACAAACGTTAAATGCACATATATACATACATTTGAAATTTCCAAGGCTGATTTCGAATGTGCGCAGATTTGTGGATGCGTAAAGCGCAATCCCCTTAATAGCCAATGAGAATCTCTCTTAGAGGTAAATAGGTGGACTCTCATTGGCTATTGACGATATTGCGCATGCGCTTTGCACACTTAGTTTGGGGTAATATAATACTTCGTGCCTGCGTAGAAAACTAGGGACATATTATACATTGTAATATACATGTAGAAAACCACGTATGTGACTTCACGTATTATACTTACTCAACCCTGGTCCCAACTCATCTCTACTAATATATAAGGTATCATGTGTAAATGTACATACATATATACATACTCCACTGGCATTGGGCCTTCAGTAGTGACCGGAATCCAAAAAGATACAGTACAATACATACATATGAAACCAACGAAGCCGAAAGAATGAAAAAGTGGAAATGATTTCTACTAGATACAATAAAATGAGAAGGGTGAAAAGACTCATGTCTCGCTATTAACCAAATGTCAGTAAGCTAAAAAAATATATTTGCAACATAACAAAGATGTTTGATGAACACTACGTGAAATCAAACGAATTTATAACATGTAATCACTTAGCTCAACAAATAACACATTCAAAGAACTCAAGAATGTTAATCGTTGACATTAGACCAAGAAGGGACTATGAATTATCAAAATTAAAACATTATAAGTGCATCAACATTCCTGCTGAAATAATCCAACTAGGGTAATTGCATTCTCTTAGTATTTTCTTTTTATTCGCTTTATTTCCTATCCTCTACCGAAGAAGTATTTTAAGGAAGGTGTTTCTGATGTTGTTTCAGCAAATTTGCAGATTCCTTTAACAAATACTTGCGCCATGATAATCATTTGTTACAGTTGTTTAAAGAACGTGGAAAACGATATGTAAACACAATCGTATTGATGGACTGGAATACAACCCAAAGTACAATAACTCCTGAAAACCATTTATGTGTATTAAAAAAGATTTTTCGTTTCTGGGATAGAGAGTGCTATGATACAATAGTAAATTTAGATGGTGGTTTTGTACTAGTGATTAATCAGTATCCTGAACTAGTTTCCAATCCAGGTGTACAATTACCTGTCAATTACGATACAATCAATAAAGTGATAACTCCGGTAAAGTATCTGATAAATAATAAATCATTACCTGAAATTCCATATCTCTGTATCCAAGAACATTAACGTAACTGAACTATTAACTTATATGTTCATTATTCTTTGAGGTTATCATGAACTTCGATAAATATGAATTATGCATTCATTAAAATAGTATTGAATACAATAAGAGAAATTGATTTTCAGATAGATCAAAATAAACTGCAGCGTCTGATAAGTCGAGTGAATCAGAAACTGAAATCTATAGAAAGATGGAAGGAAAAGAAACAGACTTTAAAAGATATTCTATTAAAAGATCAAGACTATAATGAGGAAATTGGCCCTGAACGTTATGAGCACATTTCTCTTGTTACGGAAATTTCAACACTTGATGGATTAATAAAAAATGCGGTAAGAAATATAATTTATTATTTTTGCTATTGACAAAATCCAAGAGCAAAGTTAAAATGAAAAGGACAAACAATCTATGTAAAACGAGGCTCATTCGTTACAGAAGAAATTATGTTATGAACTTAAGGAGCATATAAATGAATGCCACAAAATTAATGCTATGTTACTTCCATCCCAAGACAGTAATAATGGACACAAGATAGATTCTAATCCAGTAAAATCATTTGACAGCATTACAGATAATGATACGAGTGAAACTTCAAATGAAGTTTTATTGGATTCTCGTCCTGTACAATCACCTGACAGTATAGATTTACATATGGATAAAATACATTTTGATTCGGATAAAATTTTGGACAAAGACATAACAGGTTCTAATTCTGCAAAACCAGTTGATAGTGTTGCAGATACGCACATGGATAAAATGCATATTGATTCCGATGAAACTTTGAACAAAGGTATAATGAAGTCTAATTCTGGAAAACCACTTGCCAGTGTTGCAGATGTGCACATGGATAAAACACAAATAAATCCTAGTTTTGCCAAGCCAAATAGTGGCAACATAAATGCTAAAACTGACCAACATTTATCATCTTTGTCTGGTGTAAAACCGTTCCAAAGCTCTGACCCGAAGATCGTGAATGAGATGACTCTAAACATGAAGTCTTTTTTACATTTGCTGGGGCATTTAAAAGCAGTTACACGTTGCCTGCAAGATGCGGAAAAGATGAAACTTCAATCATTAACTACATTCTGTGAATATCAAAATGTAGGAGATAAAAATAAAGATCTACAGTGCGTGCAAAACATGCGACAAAGCATTGACTCTTTAAATGTAAAAATTAAAGAAATGGTAAGCTTAGTTCTTTTTTGTTTAAATGTTATTAAACTACTACTTTCTTGTAGAAAGTTATTAGATCTTAATAAAAGTACAATGTTGCTATTTTCGAGAAACAAATTTTGAAATGTTTGCAAGTTAAGTTAATGGAATTGTTTGATTTCAATTATTTTTTTTCCGTCTTGGGAACTGATTTGAATTGATTTAGGATATGTTTGAATTTTACAGAGGGAGAAACGCTCTGAAATCAAAGAACAAATAGAATCATTTAAAAGGATCAATGTTTTGTTCAAATCCAATAATGTTCTGAGCCCTGAAGAAAAAATACAAAAAGAGAAATTAGATCTAAGTATAGACGTGGCAGAACAAGAAATTATAACTATTTCTATTCAACAAGAAACTTTACTTTGGTTTGTTTTTAATTAAAACTTACATAATTTAATGTTGTAAAAAAGTATAATCACCATTAATGATATGATGTATTGTTTACAGTAAAGCGGCTGAAAGACAACTTATTGACCAATCTTGTAATAAAAAACAAGAACGAGAAGACAGTGATTTAAATGTGAAATCCAAAAGCTTGTTTGAAACCCAAACTCGTTCAGTCTCGCAATCTGTTCTGAAAAGACCAGATCATAATTTCAGTGCTGAGAGGATTAAAAAGTCGAAAATCGAACGTGAAGTAATTATACATTTTTATTCATTTGCTTTAATACTTCTTTTATAATGAATTTTTATTTTATATGTCTGCTGAAATTTCTTTTCAGGGCAGAATATGCATTATCTGTTTTGCGTAATACATTAATATATTCTCCAATAGGACACACATATGTAATAACGATGTGCAATTTTTGGACATCCGACATGATTTATACAAAATATTATTAGACCTTGTTGACCGTAAATTCATGAAAAGCAGACTTTCAAATGTGCCCAATGTAAACGTCAAAGAAACGTCTAGCACACGTCAATTTTAACATTCGGGAGACGTCAAGTTTACATGAATTTTGCAATAATGACAGTTCGTAAGTACTTTTGCCACGAATATCAACGTTACGTCAATTTAATGTGGAATTTATGATCTGAAAACGTTACAGAAACGTCAAATATTACGAATGGAATGTAAAAATAACGTTAACTGAACGCCAGGTATTATGAACAAAATATAAAAATAACGTTAAGTGAACATCAAGTATTATGAACGGAATGTAAAAATAACGTTAACTGAACGTCAAAAATACAGTGAATGTCGGTAACAATGGTTTTCTTAGTACATAGTTACAGAGGAAGATTGAAATAACCAAAACCGTTTAAGTACTTTTATTTATACGACGATTTATTTCCTCAAATGACATTTTCTATACCATGCTTGCAATCAACCACGCGATTTCGGGAAAGACATCCCAAGCATGGCTGCATCGACCGGATCGGTAAAATGTTTTAACACATTCGCGACCGCTGACGTGAATTCACGTCTTTCCAAGTTCTATTCCTGGTTGCCGCTGACGTGAATTCACGTCATTTTAAATTCTATTCCTGATTGCCGCTGACGTGAATCACGTCCATAACGATACACGATACAAGTTTGCGGCAACCAGTTTCAGAATTTCATTATTTTCGCCGGTACTCAGTATTTGAATGGAAAAAACTTGCCGGTCGCGAATGTGTTAACACTAAAACTACCAAGCCCAGGCAAAATAACTGTTTAGATAACAAGATAGGCAAGATAACTGTTTTAGATGGCCCATCGCAGCCAAAAAAGATCCGCCGGTAGTTCTAGTGTTAATAGTTAAGATCGGTATGCCTCTAAAGGGAAGAGAACGGTAAGATATCTCATGTTTCTTTTTCGACTTTTGTGAATGTACTTTGAATTTAGGGGCGAAGTTCTGAAGAGCGCATACTTCCGAATAATTAAAAATTTCCTATACCTATGTATTCCGACTCGTTGATTACAAAAATATGATAGTGAACATTGGCGCAAATGTTACCTTCAAAGTGAAAATGATAGTTAACAGTTTTTGCAAATTTTCACATTATTTCAATTAGTATCGGTTTGAGTGAAAAAAAGTTTGGGATAAAAGTTGTAGTGCTTGAAAGAATACATCTTTTATATTGTATACATTTTTTCGCTTAAACCGATACTTACCGAAATAATGTGAAAAATTTGCCAACATTTTTAACAATTATTTTCACCTTGAAGATAATATTTGCGCCAATTTTCACTATTATATTCGTAATCAGGGAGTCACAATATATAGGTATACGAAGTTCCAAATTAATTGGAGGTATGCGCTTTTCGGAACTATATCCGAATTTTGTAAATAAAAGCAAAATGTAATAACTCTAATGAATAAATGAAAATACTTAAACAGTTTTGGTTATTTCCATCATCCTTTGGAACTGCGTATTAAGAAAATCTTTGCTCTTCATATGCAGCAATTGCTTGATATTAAGTTGACATTTAATTAACGCCGTTGTTACATTCTATTCATAACACATGACATTTCTAAATCGTAAACTTTACTTTAAAGTGACATAAAGTTAATATTCGCAGCGAAAACGTTATCTCTATTGCTAAGTTTATGTAAACTTAATGTCTACCGAATGTTAAGATTTTTCATCTCAGTCATTTTTACATATCTGCTGCATTGAGGTTACAGAATATGAAGAATTCATTTGCCTTGTTAGTAAATTAAACATAATAACATTAATGGTAAATTTTGTCTTACAGCCGGGCATAACGGGATTAAAAAATCTAGGCAATACATGTTATATGAACAGTATTATACAATGTCTGAGCCACACGAATTACTTAAAAGATTATATCATCAGCAACAAATATCTTGAAGATCTTGACACGAGTATAGAAAATGAAACCCGTGGACGTATCACGGAAGAACTTATGGAAGTAATCAAAAAGCTTTGGAGTGGAGAGGAAAATTATATATCACCTTGTAATCTAAAGGTATTAAAGGGGATGCATGTCATTTAAATGGGTATTATAATTCAAAAAGCATACGTTCGTCCAGCCAATACATTTACAATGAAAAGTTTTCGTTTCATTGATTATTGCCACTATTCGTGGGTAAAAGATTAATATAGAAGATACAATTCGCATTCATTTTAAGTTATATTGTTTTATAATATTTATTGTTCTCTATAGGCATTACACAAGTACCCCCTATTTTATTTTCCATAGCTTTACAAAATACTATACATGCACGCGCACGTCACAAATGTATTTGTGTTTTCGTTTTATTTTTTGTTATCAGAATATCATTGGCCAATATAAACCCCAATTCGAAGGTTATGAACAGCATGACTCACACGAGTTTCTAACATTTCTCTTGAACCGTTTGCACAATGATCTAAAAAGGGTAATTGTTACATTGAAAATGGAAATAATGTATGTTTAATTGAATTGAGAAGAGTTACGATTAAAATGTAAATTTGTAGGATGACGGTGTTATTGATGGCTCGATGAGTGTCGCCGATGCAGAAATGAGAATAGCAATGAATAATCAGCAGTCCATTATCTCACAATTATTTTTTGGCCTATTGAGATCAACAATTATTTGCGTCGCATGTGAGCATAATATCGTCACCTATGAGGTCTTCAATAGTCTCACTGTAGCAATACCTCATCCCCAACACTGTACTCTGGATGTGAGTTTATTTATTAACTAGTTCCACAATAATAATTTAATGTAAAAAGAAGATCCCTAATACATACACTTTGACTTGTCGGCAATCGTAGAATGGCAGTGATTACGTTACAATTAGTGCATCCTTGTGTTATTATTTTAGGAGTGTATAGAAGGACTACTCAGTGAGCAAATGATATCGGACTGGAAGTGCTGTGTTTGTAAAGTGACTGGAAGGGCGATACAAAAATTTGATTTTGCTAAGTTGCCTCCGATATTTGTAATTCAGCTTAATCGATTCACCAAAACCGAGAATAATTTGGTAAAAAGAAGTACCTGTGTCATTTTTCCATTTGAGAATTTCAATCTCAGACCGTACTTACCAAAGGATTCCGATGAGTATTTCGTTGATACGAGTACGAGCAACTACAACTACAATCTATACGCAATTTCAAATCATTCTGGGACTATGCGACGGGGCCACTACATTGCTTTCTGTAAAAATATCTTCAAAAACCAGTTAGTTTTTAACTTCTTCTTCCTTTTAACAAGTGTATAACATTTTACTCTATACTATATTATGTAATGTGTTGAATTATGTATACAGCCTGAAAACTTATTATTTTTATTTGCTAACCGTTACGATACCTTTAAAAGATATTTATTCTTTTCAGATGGTACAGGTACGATGATCAATCAGTGACTGAAATTAGACAGAATTTGCTCATATCGCATCAAAAAACTGTCTACATGCTGTTCTATATATCTCAAGCCAACATTTGATAACAGCACATTAGCTGTAATTGTGGACATCTCACTCAACAATTTCGTTATAAGGGAATGCTTAGAAAGTATTGGGGTATTTAATGAGTTCTAGAATCAAGAAGTGTTACATAGGATATCTACCATGACTGTGATAATATTTATTTTTTGTTCTATATAAAGATGTATAAGAGTTTCTTTTGTTTTGTACTATGTAATGTTATACAGGTTGTTACAGAAATGGTGAATACGTTTAACACAGTGCTATCCGTGACATGAATGGAGTTGGGAACTACTATATGATTTTCTTTTTGCTGTGCATTGTTTACCTGTAATAATTAATTGAAAAATAGCCAACCAGGCATGTCGATTAGTGAAACGCAAATTGAAGAACTCGCTGTTAATTGTTTTGACCCTGTACAGTAAATAGTAGAATGTAACTGATACACGTTCGGTTAATTGATACATCTGGTTGGGTTTTTTTCAGTTATTACAACTGAACTGTAGAAAATAAGAGTTCAGGACTTTTTGATTTTTCGTTCGACATAGATAGTTCCAAACCATCCGTGTCTATCATTTTTTAAGAAGTGTGCAGATGTATACAGCATACAATCAATACTTTAAATTTGTTGAGAAGTTCCAGATTAATGATAAATCGTCAACTCTAAGGATCTCTTAAATTTCCTAAATAGTGTAACTATGTAACTGCGTAATCATAGAATAACATGAAACTATATTTACGATACCAATAGATCGATAGTATTGGAAAACAAGTGAGCCTTTTTATGTTAAATATATTTCTTTACTTCTTTTATGTGGATACTGTTTAGTGAAACAGAATGTACTTTGAAGGTCTATTCATTATCATGATAGAAGAAAGTGTTTCATTGATGTTATTGATAAACTATGATTATTTCTTTACTAAAACTATATGTTTTATCTGCTGTACGTTAATGTAAAATGTTTTCTGTTTGCTATCAGTAATGGAATAAAATCCGTTTTATATTTTCCTAATCTGTAGATATTATTGATACCTATGGGTTAAATTACGTTTTTCTGTTATATGTTATAAGATTCTCTTGATGTAAATGTACAATTGTAATTTACCTTTGAATATTGCTAGCGTATATGTATTTGGTGCGAACTTTCATCGAGTTTCCAGATTTTAAGGTGAAGTGAAACCCCCTTCAAATCAGTCGATTCGAATACAACACTTTTTTTTAAGGGTATTAGAACAAACTCTCCGAAACTTTGACACATGACACGTTATCACCTAAGAATTGTCCTGACACATTCAAAATTTAGATTTTTGGACCAAATTTTTTAACTTAGCCCAGACCAGAACCAAAATGGCGCCGAGCTCTCATATTTCGATCAATATACAATTATCGAAGGCTCCGATATGAGAAACGAAAGGGTCAGGACAATTTTTCGACAATTTAGAACACACTGGTAATCGATAAACTCCCATTTGAACGGGATAAAGGCAAAAAAAGTGTTTTATGCGCTTCTGTACCAAAACGATGGAAATACGAGGTCTCGGAGTGAAAATTTAATTCATCTGGAAATCACAGATGACGCAAGGTGTCCCTCTGCAGCCAATTAGGGCCCCAGAAAGCGTGAATCCAGGGGATTTCTGGAGTTTTACTTCGATCTCTTTATAGTTATTGTACGAAAATGATAGATGGAATATGCCATTTGATATAATACCTAATATAATTCGACACAGCTGTCAATATAATAACGAACGTCGGCCACGTAGGTATTTGGAAAAATCTTCTTTACCGACATCGATCAAGTTTGTGACGTGTTCACTTCAGGAATCAGGAGTCTGTAAAAATTGGCACAATATGGCCGTCCTACCCTTCCCTTTCCGACGTGCAGGCTTTCCCGTGATTTAAGAAGGATTTTTGACTCCATCCATCAGGAAATTCGGTAGAGTTTCGCGTGAAACACATTAAAAATTATTCTTACGTCCATGTATGTATGTATGTTGTACTAATGCCAAAACTCTTCCCTAGAGAATCTCTTCTACTTTCATTTCCGAGTATTAAACATGGATGTTGTACATACATATATACATACTTATTTCTATGCACTTGTCATACATATTTACTCCCAGCTATTTGCCAACACTTTGCAAAGTGGATTTCTAAAAGAATAAAAAAGAATGGAAACAAAAAGAGAACCAAAGTGGAACTTTGCGATTTCGGGAGCGGAGAATCGGACAACGTTGGCTTTCGCGCCGTCACTGCTTCTCCGCTCTCATCCGCCATGTTGTTGATGTGTCACGTGACGGGGAAGCAGTGAGGCACAAGTGGAGGTGAATGCGCCGGGTTAAATTCGCTGAGAACCAGTCAAAAATTCTCTCGTACTCCTAAACGTGGCCATACCTATCCGGGAAAAATGGACCCACGAAAATTGACAGAACTCCTACGCGCCACCATAGACCCGACTCAGCAGAAGCAGGCCGAGGAGCAGCTCAACCAGGTACGGGCGCGAGGAAACGTGCTCGCGGCATTCGCCTCAACGAGAACCCCGAGACATGTGGCATACCGCAAAGCCAGGGTGGCTTCACCTTGCTCTAAAACCGCTCGTCGAAGTCATTTAGAGACGCTCGTTATCGACGCATTGTGATTTTCCGAAGCAACCCTATATTTTGACAACCAAGGCCCGCGGAGCGCCAGGCAAAAAATTACAATCTCGTGCCGCTTTGATGGCTAGCCAAAAAAGTTCACTCTTGGAGCGCTCCGAATGCCTTTTCGTTTGTCACTAGTCCTTGGAGCGAGACTATGTTGTCCCGCTTGCTTGACTCTACAGAGTTTATTTATTTTTAGGTTGACGGGTAGGAAGGGAACGTATCTTGGCGCTTCTTTCGATGGGGAGATTAGAACATGTGGTTTGCCATGTAGCGGCGCGCCACTTGCTCTAATGGAGCGTAGTGTTAGGATTCTTTCGAACGTCGGTGTAGTATTTGAGTTTGTACTCGCTTACATTTTGAATAGATTGTTGTACTTAAAGAGTTTTAACCATCGATTAAAAGATACAACTCAAAGTTATTGGAACGATCCTTTGGATTTGTGGTTAGACCTTGAATCGAGCATTTTTTATATTATCTTTTGTGTTGAATTATTGATTCCTGTGATTGAAATGTATAGATGAGAAAATGCAGTCATAGTACACGACGTTGACAAAGATTCTAAAGACCTCTCGTAACGAATGTGTTTTTTATAGCATATGATTATTAATGTTTGAAATCTTTCCGTGTGCTAGGAGATTTATATTTCAAAGTTGTAGGGTTATATTTGGTAAAAAGCATTCTAATCTATAGAAAGTTCTTAACCTTTTGTGGTCCTTTGTCTGGTTATATGTGAAATTTACGATCCAATTGTCAAAAATTTGGATTATAATGGGCTTAAACCTGGCAGGAAGCAAAATAATTAAGGAATTTGGGTTTCTATATTTATATGGCCTTCGAAAACATTTTTTAAATCTGCATTCATCCTTTATGTATTTATCTGATTTTAGATTCATAAAATTATTGGGTTTGCACCAAGTCTTCTACAAGTTGTGATGACAGCTGAAGTTGACATGCCTGTCAGACAGGCTGGTAAGTTTAGATAAATATTAAAAATATTTCCCAGAAAAATTGTGTTCTTTTAATATTAAATTTCAGGTGTTATATATTTGAAAAATCTAATTACAACGAATTGGGCTGATCGGAATGCTGACAATGGTCAGGTTGCGTTCAGTATACATGAACAAGATCGTGCTATGATACGTGACGCTATTGTGGATGCAGTAGTACATGCGCCTGAACTTATAAGGCATGTTGTTATCTAATTTAATATAAAATTGGAATGATCAGCTTTAAAGAAGCACTCTTCTGTCTATTATGTATCAAAAGCTATAAATTCGGGATTACCTTAGCTCTGAAAAGAAGGATTTTATACATAAAAACTTGAAATAAATAAGAGATTAATTATTATCATCTAGGGTGCAGTTAGCCGTATGCATTAGCAACATAGTCAAGCACGACTTCCCAGGAAGATGGACACAAATTGTGGACAAAATCACAATTTATCTTCAGAATCCAGATGCTTCCTGTTGGCCCGGTGTTCTCCTCGCTTTGTACCAACTCGTCCAAAATTTCGAGTGAGATTACAGTTTTATTCGAAATACTTTAAATTCACTGAGGAAATTGTACTACGTAGACACATTTTAATGCAGATATAAGAAACCCGAAGAGAGAGGTCCACTACACGAAGCGATGAATCTCCTGTTTCCGATGATTTACCAGTTGATGCTGAGACTGTTACCTGACCCATCGGATCAGTCTGTTTTTCTTCAGAAACAGATCCTTAAGATATTCTATGCCTTGACACAGGTACAAAATTCAACCTCGCAAATATATAACTACACATTTGACTAAATGCATCGGTTCACACAATACATTTGCATACATACATTGCTTTGCTTTAATAGGTTTTGTCATTCGTTTATATAGGGTTAGGTCATTCGTTTCAGAAGTTGAATTGATTGCAATAAATATATATTACATTTAATACTTAGTAATGAGACGAACACGTTTTAACATTTTACTGTTACAGCAGGGTTTTTAAGTGATAACAAGTAGACTTTGCAAATTAAACATATTAATTCCTTGTACACAGTACTCCCTTCCGCTGGACCTCATATCACGAGAGGTGTTCTCACAGTGGATGGATGTAGTGCGAGAAGTTGCAGACCGGCCCGTTCCACCGGAAACAAATAATCCAGGTATAGATAACGATGAACGAGCCGAGTTACCTTGGTGGAAATGCAAAAAGTGGGCTTTACATATTTTACATCGAATGTTTGAAAGGTACATTCATTTTACTTTAAATCTATTGTATGAGATAATTTTTTAAGCATTTTTGGCTAAGTACATTAATAATTGAATCCACCGGTTGTTGGAATTTAGTTCCTTTGAACGTCATGATATTTTCAGTATTATGTTAAATTAGTATGCGAAGCGGTTTACATAAATTTAATTAAGAGTGCTTTTTAACTTGTCAGGTACGGTAGTCCGGGTAATGTAACAAAAGAATACAAGGACTTCTCCGAGTGGTACTTGCAAACCTTCAGTGCTGGTATCATCGAGGTTCTGCTTAAAATTCTGGATCAATACAGAAGAAAGATTTACGTCTCGCCGAGAGTCTTACAACAGTCCATTAATTATATTAATCAAGGGTAATTAATTAAATATTTCTCGTAATACTTTCTATTCCTTTGTAAATATTTAATTAACTGTTTTCTCGGATGCGCATTTTTAGAGTGAGCCACGCATATTCATGGAAATTCTTGAAACCACATATGTTTGAAATCATTCGGGATGTGCTGTTTCCAATTCTCTCGTATTCAGCCGCCGACGAGGAATTATGGAATACCGATCCTCACGAATATATTAGAGAAAAATTCGGTAAGAATCAACCGTAGTCATAATTGATTTGAAGTTGTCGATAACGATCACACAACATAAATGTAATCGGTTTATCAGATATATTCGAGGATTACGTATCCCCGGTAACTGCGGCTCAAGTTTTACTACATTCTGCCTGTAAGAAGAGAAAGGAAATGTTGCAGAAGACCATGCATTTCTGCGTGGAAGTCTTAACAAGCCCTAATGCCGACCCCAGGCAGAAAGATGGTGCTCTACACATGGTGGGTTCTCAGTAATCTACTCGTATTAAATAATAATATCTTAATTAAATAATGTAATTCATCGGAAACTTTCGTTTATACCCAGGTCGGGAGTTTGGCGGATATATTATTGAAGAAGAAAGTCTACAAAGACCAGATGGATAACATGCTCCTTCAGTATGTTTTTCCTGAATTCAACAGTCCCCACGGGCACATGAGAGCAAGGGTAGATATCGAGAGAGCATGTCCGTATAGATTTAAAATCTAATCCTTAGCCGAGAGAACGGGAATGACCGGTCTTTTGTTTTAGGCCTGCTGGGTTCTGCACTGTTTCGCTGTTATTAAATTTAAGCAAGAACAGGTTCTGGTGGAAGCCATTAGACTGACCACGAACGCCCTCTTGAGCGATCAGGATCTACCGGTGAAAGTGGAAGCTGCTATCGCTTTGCAAATGCTTCTTAACTCGCAGAACAAAGCCAAGAAGTACGTCGAGCCTCTGATCGAACAAATCACCCTGGAACTTCTGACTATTATTCGCGAGACTGAGAACGATGATCTGACCAGCGTTATGCAAAAGATTGTTTGCACCTACACGGCGCAACTTATGCCGATCGCCGTAGAAATTTGTCAACACTTGGTAAGAGATGAATATCGGATTGTCGATAATTATTTTCGTGTCCTTGGGAGAGAAATCTTACTGAGATTCAGCTGAAAGTACGCTAGTCATTAATTATTGACCAAGAGCTTGAGCATAACTTCTAGAAAATTAAATCGGGCATTACTAACTGATCAAACTCTACACCTTTTGAAGATTTATAACTTCGCGATGGTGTTTCCTGAATTGCAATGACACTTGTATAATTATGAAAATAACGGTGGAGTTTGCTTCGAATATTTTCTAGCGCAGATATCGAATGAAACGAATTCACCGTTGCTGTTAATTTAGGAATTCTTAAATAAAAATTGGTGCTATCTTTAAGCAAGATATCAGTACGTGTGAGAATATATTTCTAATGATTTCTTTTACAGGCTACGACGTTTAGTCAAGTGCTTGAAACGGACGAGGGCAGCGACGAGAAGGCCATAACTGCAATGGGCTTGTTGAATACAATCGAAACTCTGCTGAGTGTAATGGAAAATCAGCCTCAAATTATGGCGCAATTACAGCCAACCGTTTTACAAGTAGTCGCACATATTTTCGGACAGAGCGTAATGGGTAAATGTGCATTATATAAATCAACGGTATAATAAATCATCTTAGTGACGAATATAACGTTAATTAAATGTCGCAGAATATTACGAGGAGGCTCTGTCTCTGGTTTACGACTTGACCGTGAAGACAATTTCGGAGGACATGTGGAAAGTCCTTGAACTGATGTATCAGCTTTTCCAAAAGGATGGATTCGACTACTTTACCGACATGATGCCTGCACTTCACAATTACATCACGGTCGATACTCCGGCGTTCCTATCTAACGAGAACTACATTCTCGCGATGTTCAACATGTGTAAAGCAGTGAGTGTAACGGCAGTAATTAAAATAACGAAGTATTTATTAAGAAAAAATGTTCCGATTAAATTGATATACTCAGTCAGGTATAAATTAATGGGATTAGTATACGATTAATTGGAACATTGTCGCAGGTTTTGACCGGAGATTCTGGCGAGGATCCAGAGTGCCACGCTGCCAAACTGTTAGAAGTTATCATCTTACAATGCAAAGGACATATAGATCAAGTGAGTGTCAAAAGAAGCTAATCCTTTTATTCACTGATATGTACTTTTTTTAAAGTATAATATAGGTGCATCGGTACGTCCCCTCGTCATCTACAATGATTTAGGAACTTTGCATAACGTTCTATCCAGAATGGAGTATAAGGAGATACGACGCCATGTATTGAAATCATCCCCACTTTAGGGGTCCAAGATATTCAGAGTTTTTTCTGATCTTATGCCGAGAGCGCCTCCGATGAAATTTGGCAATTAAAAATTATCGTCCGCTAGTCTTTATCATGTTAGAAACATAATTCTGCCTATCATACGCGGATTATCGTTTCGCTTTGCGTACTTTAATTGCAAAATTAAAAGCATTTTGGGTCATTTACATCGGTAGGAAATGTTTACGTCATGTAGGCTTGGAGTTCCCTTATTTTCCACAAACAGCGCTCGCATCGTTAGATCAGGGAAAATTTGAGATCCTGGGTCTCGATTCTGGGGTTACTTTCTAGGGAACCGACCATTGGCGTTATGTCTCCTTATACTACTTCACGGTTCTAGCATATCTCAGAACGTGTGCTACAATGTACATAACCTTTTCAAGTGGTAATAAGCGTTTACTTTGCAGTGTATCCCGTCGTTAGTTCAATTGGTATTGGAACGATTGACCCGAGAAGTGAAGACGTCGGAATTGAGGACGATGTGTCTGCAAGTTGTGATAGCGGCTCTTTACTACAATCCGACTCTTTGTTTGGGAGTTATGGACCGACTTCAGGGAACTCTTGGTCAATCCGCCGAACCGATCGCATCCCATTTCATTAAACAGTGGATACACGATACCGATTGCTTCCTTGGGTAGATATCACCCAGTCAGAGTACTTAAACGATATATTATTTCGTCAGAATATCAGGAACGTGGTTTGGGAACGTGTAGATAGGATTTTACAACTGAATTGTGTCCCCTAGATTGCACGACCGGAAGCTCTGCGTCCTTGGACTGTGTACTCTGATCAGTATGGGCCCTTCGAGACCGGCTGCCGTCAATGAATGTGCACAACAAGTGATACCTTCCTTGATCTTGCTTTTCGACGGTCTCAAACGAGCCTACGCAGCTAAAGTCTCCGAGAGCGACGACGACGACAGCGACGACGAGGAGAGCGACTTCGATGAAAGTACGAGAATCACGTAATAGGAAAAAATCTGTCGCGATAAATTATCCCCTTGTCGTATCTTGATGAGCCTGACCCGTGATCATTTTGGGCCGAACGTGAATATCACAAATCCTACTCGTAATAACGGTTTCGGACCAAACATGGACGTCACGAGTCAGACTCGTGGTAACGATTTCGTATGACACAAATTTTCCCGTTCTGCGAGTATCTTTCTCCACCATTTCTGCAAGTTTTCTGAAAATCTCTCCGAAACCCTTTGGCCCATTCGGCGAGTGTCATTTGTTATCGGTTTGGCCCGAATTTTGGCAAGCTAATTTATATGACAAGGGATTAAGGTGACGTAAAAGTGGCGTCAAAGAGGTCTCATTTATGAAACTTTCCTCCGAATTGGGTGTACCTAATGGTTTCAAGCTTTATAACGTGAATGAGGAGGCTCTTTGGAAGATCCTGACTCCCATGAAATTTCAATTTGTTCCAAATTTATTCCTAGGTATTCTTAGCATTTTTTTTATAAAAAATGAAATTTCATGAGTGTCAGGACTATCTTTACAGCCTCTATATTCACGTTGTGAAGTTTGAAACGATTCGGAATACTCAGGTTGGAGAAGAGTTTTATGAACGATTTACCTTGCAGATATTACTTTCATGTCCCCTTAAGGAGATGATTATTCTTATCGCGAGACATCGAATATTATGACGAATGTTATATTTTTAAACACTGATCGAGTGGTAAATCGTATCGCGTAACGGTTGCCTTTTGCAGAGGTCCTTTCTACGGACGAGGATGAGATTGATGATGCTAGTCAGGAATATCTTGAGAAACTCCAAGAAAAGGCGACCAAGGCTTCGGCCCAACACGGCTTCATTTTAACGGCATCCATTCAAGATGGTCATGGAGATCACAGGTCCGATGACGACGACGGCGAAGATTCGGATTACGAGGTCAACGAAGAGACTGCCCTTGAAAGTTTTACTACACCCCTAGATTCAAGCGACACAAACCAGGACGAATACGTTGTCTTTAAGGAAGTTATGCAAAGTAAGTATAAGATTCTGTGACCCTTGGAATAACTTACAAAGTTGGGTAATTATCCATAAAAGCGTGATCCTCTCAGATTTTTGTATCTTTGATATATTCTAGAGAATGTCGTCTCCAATATTTTCATATACATATTTAAGCGTCGGACTTGAATATTTTCTAAGTTATTAAACAATTAGAGAATAGCAATGACACAGGCGAATAAATATGTTGAAATATAAGTAAGAATGTGAGGTGTCTAAATGTAAAGAAAATGATGCAACTAGGAAAGTAGCCAAGTGTGTAGCATCTTTGGCTTTCGTTTCTCCATTGTAACTCCGATAATATTCAAGTCCTATCCTTAAATATATACATGAAAATACCTGGGACTACGTCCTCTACGAGATATTAAAATTATACGACAATCGGAGAGGATCACCCTTTTATGCGTAATTACCGTTGGCTTGTTAAACGTTACATGCGACGTCTGTTGAAAATGTAAAAAGTCTTAATTATCTGTTACTTGTATTGCTGTTGCAAGTTGTTTTATACTGAATTTTTGTGAGTTGATTTGAATTCGAAATGAGTCTTTCTTTTTCTTTTTTTTTTTTTCTTAATTACACAACTATTTTACATGGTTTATTTTTTTTATATTTGTTTAGCCATCGAGCGAACGGATCAGCCGTGGTACAGAGCACTGACCAACCATCTGACCTCCGAACAACAGAAAGCTCTCCAGGAGATCATATTGCTGGCGGATCAGCGCAAAGCAGCCCTCGAAAGTAAACGAATCGAGATGAGCGGCGGTAAGGCGACAAAGCATTATCAGTTATAATTGAATAATAATTTCGTATGAGGATGAGGAGGTATCGCGGGATAATCGGTGATTCTATTTCCCTCTGGAGGCGAGACGAACGAAGGGCTAATTAGATCCGATTGACATTTCCAGGTTACGCTTTCCACTCGCAGACAGTGCCGACCTCGTTTAATTTCGGCGGGACGTCGTTAGGCCGATAAGGACTCTAAACGTTTCTATTTTAGATTGTGTAACATTAAAGAAATTACAAGAAGCCAAGGGCGGTGTCGAGTGACCACCTCGAAGACACGAATGCATTTTCCGTTGCAAGCCATTAATTCTCTCCGATATCGTGTAAACTATTTGTACATTGACCGGATGAATTCCCGAGGACGAGCTGGGACACGCCGTGTATCTAAGACTAAACCGGCTCGCGATGGAGATACGGCTTTTCACATGTACTCCCGCTGATAACGCTGATAACGCTGTGGTCGCCGCTCCCTTCGTCGTAAATGGGACGTCGACGTGCCGAGGTCCCCCCTCGAAACTCGGCGCGATTCCTTTCGAGCGAAAATTATTATCCCCTTATTTGCAGTAAACCAAAGGGAAGAGAAGAGGTCGATGCGCCCCCGATTTGTCGGATGAGAGAAAGAGCGTCGGATCGGTTGTCTCTCTGTTGTATGTACGTCGATGCCTTGGGAATGGAGAGGCGTCGTGGGAATGATGTATTGTCGAGGCTCCGCTGTATTTGTTCCGTGGTAGCACACGTAGACGGTCGTCGGAAGTGTCCCGTCGGGAGGTCGTTGACTTTATACAATGTTTGTTAAAAATATGTTAAATTGTTGGTATAAATATATCGAAGGCTAATTTTTAATACACTACCAGAAAGGGGGATTTTCCTTCCAGGCCCGCGGAAAAATGAGACAGGGAATAGTATCTCGTTTAATTTACTTGGCTTTTAATGCCGTTCTCGAGGAATAATATGTAACTTATGATACAACAACGATAACTAGGGGCCGGTTGCAACCAAATTTCGAGTTAAGGTGATGCGAAAGTAGCGACACGGTGGACCTATTCTGTAACGACAGATGGCGTTATCGTTAGCCCATTGGATAACACGAGCTAACTATAACTATAGACGTCGTTACGAGTTACAGAATGGGCCTACAGAGGTCTCGTTTATGAAACTTTTATCTGAACAGGGTGTATTGAATCGTTTGAAAGTTTAGAACGTGGATATAGCGGGTACACGGAAGGTCTTGATACCTATGAAATTTGAATTTGTTAAAAATTTGCTTGTAGGTATTTTTTTTTATTTTTTTTTTTATCAAAAATGAAATTTCATGGGTGCCAGGACCTTCCTTGTAGCCTCCATATTCACGTTGTAAAGTTTGGAACGATTCGGTATAATCAATTCTGAGACAAGTCTCACAAACGATCGACCCCTTGGATGCTACTTTCGCATCCCATTAAGGTGAAGTGTCATAAAGAAATCGAAGTAAAACTCCAGAAATTCTCTGGATTCATGCTTTCTGGGGCCCTAATTGACTGCAAAGGGACACCTTGCGCCATCTGTGATTTCCAGATCAATTAAATTTTCACTCCGAGACCTCGTATTCCCATCGTTTTGGTATAGAAGCGTATAAAACACTTTTTTTTGCCTTTCTCCTGTTCAAATGCGAGTTTATCGATTACCAGAGTGTTCTAAATTGTCGAAAAATTGTCCTGACCCTTTCGTTTCTCATATCGGAGCCTTCGATAATTGTATATTGTTCGAAATATGAGAGTTCGACGCCATTTTGGTTCTTTGATTTTTTCCAAAAATCCAAATTTTGAGTGTGTCCGGACAATTCTTAGATGATCACGAGTCATGTGTCAAAGTTTCGGACAGTTTGGTCCAATACCCTTAAAAGAAAGTGTTGTATTAGAATCGACTGATTTGAAGCGGGTTTCACTTCACCTTAAGGTTAACTGATCATTGTTAAGAAATTCTACGCTAATCACGGTTGGCGAAATCGGCCCTAAGGTTCGTTTTCAGCGTTCGATGGACTTTCCAAACCTTGTTCATAGTATAAACCTCACGTGGCACTTTTATTCTTTCTCCTTAAAAAAAGTGGCACGGTTTGAGAGTTGTTTTCCATTTGTCTGGAATTTTTTGAAAGCCATGGTCGCTTCGTTTAAAGAACACGATAGAGACTCGCGCCAAGTACATATCGTCGATGTCGAGATTGGGACATCGGGTTTCTTTATCGGAAATGCAATAAGTTTCAAGCTGCCCGAAGCTGGTTTTGGGAAACGAGCTTTAATCGGGGGCTATATACGAAATGAGTCTTTTTCGTATACGTTTCTTGAATTTGGAGAATTGTCTAAGTCGCGGGCCATTTTCTCGAAGCCTGACAAGATGCCGTACAAAGTAACGATGTGACGAATTGAATACTTTATCAACTCGAGTTACTCAGATTTGAAAGCGTTGCCAACTCGAGTTTGGACTCGAGTCGATAATTCGGTGCCGTCTACATTCAACGCGACGAATAGAGTCAATTGCGAGTTGGACAGTATAACGACTCGAGTCGAGTACTCCATCGACGCGAGTTACTCGAACATGGCCAATTTGAGTCGACGACTTAATACCGCATACATTTGGCGCGATGAGTCGAATCGGTGGCGAATAAAACGACTCGAGTCGAGTACTTCGTCCACTCGAGTTACTCGAACATGGCCAAATTGAGTCGACGACTTAATGCCGCATACATTTGGCGCGATGAGGCGAATCAGTGGAGAGTAAAACGACTCGATTAGCGATGACTCGAGTCGAAGCGATATAAGGAGTCAAGTACTTCATCAACTCGAGTTATTTGAACATGACCAACTCGAGTCGACGATTCGATGCCGCATACATTCGGCGCGGTGAGTCGAATCAATGGCGAGTTGGCGAGTAAAACAGCTCCATTAATGGTGACTCGAGTCAAAGTGATATAACGAATCTTGCACTTCATCGACTCGAGTTACTCGAACGTGGCCAACTCTAGTCGACGATTCGATGCCGCATAAATTCGACGCGTTGAGTCGAGTCAGTGGCGAATGAAACGACTCGAGTTACTTGAACATGGCCAATTTGAGCCGACGACTTAATACCGCATACATTTGGCGCGATGAGTCGAATAAATAGCGAGTAAAATGACTCGATTAGCGACAACTCGAGTCGAAGCGATATAACGAAACAAGTACTTCATCGACTCGAGTTACTCGAATATGGCCAACTCTACTGGACAATTCGATGCCGTATAAATTCGACGCGATGAGTCGAGTCAATGGCGAGTAAAACGACTCGAGTCGAAGTGATATAACGAATCTAGTACTTCATCGACTCGAGTTACTCGAACATGGCCAACTCGAGTCGACGACTCGATGCCGCATAAATTCAACGCCATGAGTCGAGTCAATGGCAAGTTGGCGAGTAAAACGACTCAGTTAGTGACGACTCAAGTCTATATAACGAATCTAGTATTTTATCGACTTGAATTATTCGGAGATTGCCAACACAAGTCGACGACTCGATTCCGCATAGATTCGGCGCGACGAGTAGAGTCAACGACGAGTTAGCCAGTAAAAAGATTCTAATAACGACAACTAGAATAAACAAATAAGCCGCGATTGGTATCACGGTCTCCCTCTTATCCTTATAACTCGCATTCGTTTGTACCAAATAAATCAGAAGTCTCCATAGAAGCCCAGTAGGATACGGACGTTCGATGCTCGATAAATAGTACGTCAGCCAACGGATGACGGCGCTGTAATCATCTCTCCACCTCCCTTAATCTTATGGCGATAAATGGCGAATTGCATTCTTTCTTTATCTTACCCACAATACTCGCCTTTCTATATGCGTCTCTCTTCCTCCCGTATGTGAGATATCGTTGGCTAACACATGCGATCTCTCTTTTACCCCCTCTTCTGGTTTATTTGCCAACTTTTAGAGCATCAAGCGCTAACATAGGATCTGGGCTTCTATGGGACTTCTGAATTCTTTGTTTGTACCAATAACTCGAGTTAGAATTAAAATGAACTCGAGTTGACTCGAGTTTAACGAGTTAACTTACTCGACTCGTCGCATCACTAATACGAAGAGAAGAGGTGTTCTGCGCCGCGATTGGGGAGTTATAGAGTTTCGATCGGTTGGAACGGTGTTTCTCTCGGAAGTAGCAAAGTATCTGCGAGGTTTATGTACAATTTAGGTTTAAAATTGGACTCGATAGAATCGACTTCAGTTGCGAGGGACACCGAGCGATTAGACTAGTTTCGCTGTCCCGACGAATTAGCAGTTTGTTAATGTGCACCGGATGGCGCTTGGCGACACATTTGTCTTCGTTAGTTAACCTCTTGCCTTACGATTTAAATTCCACTAGCGCGTGCCATAAAAAACAAAAATGTCGGTCATACATCGGGCCATTTCACGGTTTGGCTGAACGTTCAAAGTCTCACATCTTTCTCGTACGTTTTGTTCACGTTTGGCCCGATTGATATATACCACGTTTCTCACACGATATTATAGGTGAAGAGGTTAAGGTGAAGTGAAACACGTCGAGGAACTTGATCAACGTCGATAAAGAAGATTTTTCTAAATGCCTACGTTGCCGACGTTCGTTTTTATATTAACAACTGTGTAGAATTATATTGGATATTGTACCAAATGGCATACTCCACCGGTCGTTTTCGTACAATAAATATCATGAAATCGAAGTAAAACTCCAGAAATCCTCTGGATTCATGCTTTCTGGGGCCCTAATTGACTGCAGAGGAATACCCTGCGCCATCTATGATTTCCAGGTCAATTAAATTTTCTCTCCGAGACCTCGTATTCCTATCGTTTTAGCATAGAAGAGCATACAACACTTTTGTTGCCTTTATCCCGTTCAAATGCGAGTTTATCAATTACCAGAGTGTTCTAAATTGTCGTAAAATTGTCCTGACCCTTTCGATTTTCATATCAGAGCCTTCGATAATTGTATATTGATCGAAATATGAGAGCTCAACGCCATTTTGGTTCTGATGTGGGCTGAGTTAAAAAATAAAAAAAAATCCAAATTTAGAATTGTTCAGGACAATTCTTAGATGATCAGGAGTGATGTGTCAAAGTTTCGGACAGTTTGGTCTAATACCCTTAAAATAAAGTGTTGTATTCGAGTCGACTGATTTGAAGGGGGTTTCACTTCACCTTAACGCGAGAGCCCCGACTAAAATAGAAACCGTATTTTTGTGTATCTACGTATGATAAACCAATCATGTTAGATTATTCAGGAACGAAGCAATCAAAGGACATTAGTTATGCTTAGGGGAAAGGGCTCGGACAAAAGTGAAATGAGTTCAGAGGAGAGATTAAAAAAGTGCCTTGAAACGCTTGAAGGAAAAAAAAAAACATGGGACCTAACGAAAACGATTATACAGTGTTAAAGGGCTGTAGATCGGTCTGCGGTCAGGACACTTCTTTAGTTAATAAGTTCCTTATGAGACTCTGTCGAAATGAAGGATGTCGCGGGCGAAATTGAGGAAAAAGTTGGGCAAGACTCGAAATGGGAAATCTGCATTTCGGAATTATTGACCGTCAAGTCTGTCCAGGAGTAATTCGAACGTGCATACCCAAAGAAATGAGAGTCTGATTGTCGTGTATGGTTCTGTATGTCAGTCTAAAATCGACATCGCATAAATCATGGATGTCCAGCTGCGAGATAAAAATATTACTCAGAGATCGAGTAGGTTTTTCTGTAGATGCGTCCATTTTCTATTCCATAATGTGTAACAGATTTCTGGAAAAACAGTTTAAAATTATTCCTTTCAAACTTAACGATGCAAATATGCAGGCTGTAAGGAATGTCGTGACATT